AGTCAACTGGGTCTTATAATTAGGATCGGAAGTAGTATAAGTTAAATTTGACAAATGACTGTTATTTTTTGCGGTGCGATTAATACTATAAAAGTGTCAAAAGGCCCCTAATTAGGGAAAAAAATAAAAAAGACAAATGTGCAAAATTACTTATAAACTTTTAATCAAATAAATTAATTCTTTCAGTTTTAACAAAAAAATTCTATTAAATTTTATTATACTATGATAATGCTAATAATTTTATGATTAATATATATGTGTGTTTAGTCTTTCAAATTTACTTTAAGCTTTAATTTAGTCTTTTAAAGATGGAAAGTATATTTTTAGTCACTAAATGTTAACATCATAGATCATGTTAACGAAAAATACCGGTTCAATGAATTTAAATAGTGACTCTACAAAAATACCCATAAATATATAAATAAATTAACTATTTCAGATTTTTTTAAAAAATTTTTTTATTATACTACTACCTCCGATCTTTAATATAAAATCCTGTTTAACTTTTATTTTGCTCCTAAATATAAGACTCCAAATCCATTTTATCTCTCATATTTATATATATATTTTTAAAATAACCCTTCTAATAATGATAGTTCTAGTCAATACACTTGATTAATAAGAATATTTTAAGAAAAACAACACTTATGTAGAACAAATAACTAACTCAACTTACTTTTTTAATTTTTTCAAATTAGTTAACTAATTTTTATAATTAGGACCGAAAATAATATTATACTTTTGCACCTCTGCAAAGGTTACGGTAATAGAAGCCTTTCAAGTAAAACTTTATAGGTATTTTTGTACTTTTACCTCTCATATTAATTGTAATAACTGTGGTAATCATTCTTGTAGATGATCAGTCGGCGTTGGCGGGGCTTTTGCATTATTGCTGTGTATTGGTTCTCAAAGCTTGCGCATTTTGATTTGACAACATAGTCTCTCACATGTTCCAATTTGTTTTGTTAAAGTACAAGCAGCACCTTTTGACCAAATCAAAAAGGAAGAAGCACAAGCAGCACCGAAATACACTCGAACCTATCATTTTAATTGACCCTATCATCACTAACAATAATTCCGTTCAGTTCTTGACTAAGGAGTAGTTGGGATCAGATATTTGATATTATATATAAAATCTTAATGTCTGTCGTATTTATTTATTTTTTCAAACTAATTTATTTATATTATAAATTGATATATATAATCCAATACTTTGTAAAAAAAAATATTTTAGAAAGATAATGTCATGTTTGTTATAATTAAATAATTTATTTATTTTTTAATATATCCAAATTAGTAAGTAGCTCTTATATTAAAAAATAGAAGTAGTAATAGCAATGTACCCCTGCTACCAATTTGTGAAAGTTGAGAACAATTGAATTTTGACTCCAACGTTCCACTTGGAAACAAAATAATGGTTTTAAAGTGCTTTTAAAAACAATTGAATTTTGCATGTTAAGGGAGTATTTGGATAGAAACAAAATAATGATTTTAAAAGTATTTTTATAGTATACGAAATAAACATGTGGAGGAGTTTGTTTCAGTTTACAGAAAAATGCATTTAAAATGTACTTTTTGGGTTGGTTGGGAATCTCTTCTCTTTCTTTCTCATTCTCTTCTCTCCTCTTCTTTTAATAAATATTAGATTATCATATTTCTACGGTTCAGATTTTAATTTTTATAAACTATTTATAAAAAATTTAAAAAATATTTAATACATTTGCAAATCATTAGAATTAAATTTTAATAGGTTTTTTAATTTGTTATTTATTTTTATAATTTAATGTCACAATAATAGTTTTAATAAAATTTAAATCTCAACTATTAATATGTTAATCTAATGATTAAGGGAAAAAAAAAAGAAGAAAAAAGGATGATAAAGAAAGAGAAGAAATTACGAACTGTTTTGGAATTGCCCAAACACCTTAAATAATGGGAATGGGAAGTTGCCGAGAAGTAATAACAGAGCAATTGGCATGAAGCACCAACATCATCTTTACGTACAAACCATTGACATGCGAAGAAGTAACACTCATTCGCACACAAAGGACCCTGCCATTGAAGGTACGAACTTTCCCTGTAATTCATCGTATGAGGGAGGGACAATGTTGTCATGATATTTTCGTCTAAATTGAAAAACCGAACAGAATAATTATTACAACACCCCCCCGGGCTTTTATCAGTAAAAGTAATTAATGGAGGCAAACTTGGAAACCAGCCAAAAAAAATTGTGACATCTTACCAATATTTATTATAAATAGGACAAAGTAGAAGTGGTAGTTGTCTCATATAAAAAGAAACGGAAGAGCATCCTTCACCAAGCTTTCACTTTCAAACGCATGCCAGATCTATTTTTTACTTTTATTTTTTAAAATATTTTAATTTATACAGAATTAAAAATAAAGATATTTTTACTGAAAAACAGTTTTTTCATTTAAAAATTATGAGTTAAACATTCTAAATACCGGCTAATGAAATTATATTTAAACCGTACAAACCTCGCGTGGCCATGGAGCACCAAAGTGGGTCCTGTACTCCATTGTACCATGAGTGGGAAAGAACAGTGCCATTAAATTTCCACCGAATTATTACTTGTGTTGAATTAAAGAAGAAATGGACAAACTGAGCAGTATACTTGTGTTGAATTAAAGAAAAAATGGACAAACTGAGCAGTACTTGTGTTGAATTAAAGTTGCTTTGTTCAGTGCATGAACCTGCTACTTACAATAATTGTGCGCATCGGATGCTCCGCTTTTTCACAGAACTGAACTTAGCTGGCATACTGGCAGCATCTGCTATACAGGCGATTCCACGAAGACTATTTCCGTCATCACCATTGTGTGCAAACTCTTCTTTCTGCACTTTGAAACAAACTGCAATGGCTTGTGCTTCCTCAAGCTCTGGCTCTTGCATTATTAGTCCGTGTATCGGTTCCCAAACTTTATGCATTTCGGTTTGGCAAAATGGTCTCTTCCATATTTGGTCTCTTTTGCATATTCCAATTTGTTACAGTACATGTAGCATCAGAATATACTTCAAGGACAAAAAGAAAAAAGGAGTTTTGAATCTTGCAATGCATAGTATTTATGTATACTTAATAGATGTGAATTATGAGTTGTCACCCCCCCCCCAAAACAAAACTGTGTCTTGTTTTCAGGATTGCTGATAATTAAAAAGACACTTTAATTTTATATTTAAAGTAAACCAAAATGGTTCGAAGGAGTTTTCAACTTTCCACAGGTTTGTATATTATTGTATGGTGTATACCATTACCCCAGTTACGTGGTCTAATAGTTCATGACGCGTCATTGATTCTTCACTCCATTCACAACTTGTCCAATGAGGGTATGCACCACTTTAATATGGAAGCCAACCATGCAATTCTGCCAAAGACTTGAGTTCTAAATAACAGATATTGTTTTGGTCCAAAAAGTAACACATATTAATGAGAACTTTAACACACTTTCAAACACAATTGACCCTACCGTCTCTAACAATTAAAACTCTAAAACCCTACCATCACTTGGTGAAGGCTGCGGGGAAGTAACAGAGTAATTATTAATCCTTCAGAGAAAGTTGCAGTGAAATAGCGAAACAATTGGCATTAGAGCATCAACATCAACTTTTTAGTATAGGCCATACGTTTTGTTGGACCTTGGTTGCGTAGAAGCTTTCACATGCAAATGTAATTCTCCCAAAGACTTGACTTCATAATTACTTTGCCCCAGAAAAATAACATATACTCCTTCTAATTTTAAATATAAGAGTTATATAACTAATTTATGAAATTAAGTTTCTTATTTAACAGAATATCTGTATGATTTACCTAAATACTCGTCTAATAATTGTATTGAAATCTACCACATTAATAGCATAAAAAGAAAATTATAAATTTGGCAGATAAAATATATTAAATTCTTATATTTAGAATTAAAATACTCCTTCAATTCAAATTAGATCCAGACATCATCTAGTGAATCATGACTAATTCTTGATATTTATTAATCCATTTAGTACCCAAATCCATTTTAGGTTAAACTGAACTAACAAAAAGAAATATAAAGCTACTAACAAAGAGTTGGTCTAATAGTTTTCCTTCACATCCAAACTAAAGTAAAGTTTTAAGGTCATTTATTCTTCCCCTTATGCACAACTTTTCTGGTGAGGAAATGGGCCAATTCAATATGAAGGCCGATGCATGCAATTTCTGCCAAAGACTTGAATTCTGAATAATACTATATTTTAGTTTGGTCCCAAAAATAATAAATGTTAGAACCTATCATTGAACACACTTGCAAACAAAATTGACCACATAATCACTAACAATTACTCTCCTAGGTTCTTTGAACTAAGGTGGCTAGATTTGATTTTAAATATAAGATTTTAATCTACTTTGCCTATTATATTTATCATTTTTTTTTCAAAATAATTTATCTATATTATAAATTAGTCTATAATCTGATAATTTATAAAAATATTTTAAAAAAATCATGCCATGCTATATTATAATTAAATAATTTATGTAACTTTTTTAATATATCAAAATTATCTAAGTAACTCTTGTATTAAAAATAAAAAATACTAACAGCAATTACCCTACCATCATACTTTAACTGGCGGGAAGTTGCAGAGAAGTAGCAGAGCAATTGGCATGAAGCATCAACATCATCTTTTACGTGCCAACCATTCACATGAAAAAAGGACCCAAAAAAAAAACGGTAACACCCATTCAGACGCAACGGACGATGTTGTCATGACATTGTGTCTAAATTATCCATACTTTTTGTCGCTAAAAGAAAGGTGGTGCCGTTAGGATGGGAATGAAATTTGTTGATTCCAATGTGAAAAGGGAAAAAGTATCAGTTACGGCGTCATTTGGCTCGGAAGACTTGACAAAGTGAATAAAATCTATCCGCTGCCATACATACTCCATCATCAGTTCACTTTTGTCATTTCTCAGCAAAGAAGACAGAGAGAGATCAGAGAGTAATTAGAACTCCATGCTTGCCATAGCTTCCCCATCATCATCTTCTTCTTCCAAGAAATATGATGTGTTTCTGAGTTTTAGAGGAGAGGACACTCGCAAATCCTTCACCAGCCATCTCCATACCGCCTTACGCCATGGAGATATTGAGACATACATTGATTATGAGCTCCGAAAAGGCGATGACATCTCCCAATCACTCATTGAAGCAATTCGGGATTCATCCATCTCTGTGGTGGTCTTCTCTGAAAACTATGCCTCCTCCAAATGGTGTCTGAATGAGCTCCTTCAGATCCTTTGCTGCAAACAACAGCGGGGACAAATTGTTGTTCCTATCTTCTACGAAATCAACCCATCTGATGTACGCAAACAAAGGGGAGCTTATGAGAAAGCATTCGCAGAGCATTTGGAGAAAAACCCAGAGAAGGTGGATGAGTGGAGACAAGCACTTTTTGAGATTGCAAATCTAGTAGGATGGGACTCCCACAACTATAGGTCACTCTTCATTCTCTAATAAGTCTCAATCTTTGAATCACAGTTTCACCAGCAATTATGACTTGAGATGCTTTTATTATCCTTTTGTTTGATCTTCGTCTTTGTAGAAATTGCTGTTTCTTTTCATATGAGCTTCTCTGGCAACTACTTAGCTGGTCTGTCAGTGAGTATTTGATGTTTAAGGAACTTCTAGCATGGTTTGTTCGAACTAACAAAAACTCTCTTATTAAAATATAACAACTTTTTAACATTATTTTTATTTAATATATATCTACGTTTCCCAAAAAAAAAATTATTTACACTATAATAAATAAAGGACAAAATAGTATATCCATGTTAAAAATTTAATAAAATGACTTATAAGTAAGACCAACAATAATCTTTTTTCTGTTCTAAACAGCACCATATGAGTATAAAATTAATTTCTTTAATTTATTGGGGTTATATGAAGAAAATATTATTTAAACGTTCTCATCTCAAAATTGGATACTTCACCTCTAAAGTTGATTTTTTTGGGCAACTGTGAATTTTATTTTTGATCTTATTTTTCAGGCATTTTTAGCATTTAATCTTTTTAGTGGTGTAATTTTACCACTAAAGAAATCAAGATGCTATGTATAGTTGAAACAAGTAAAGATTTTACTTTTTTTTTGAAAATAAATGTTCTACCCTTCTTTAATTAATTGTTGTTAAGAATATACAAATAACTCATATGTAGTAGAGTAAATTATGTATACATTTCTTAATAGGGGCGCTCATGAGGCTCTGTGTCCAGAAAAAAAATCTCAGTCCAGTCTGAAAGCAAAAGAACAAACCCGAAGAAAAATGGGTACTTCCAAGTTGAGCTAATATGGGCAGGATCGAGTGTTGAATAAAGCATGTTGCTCTGGCCGTTTAACCCTGCTTGAAAATATATATACATATATAGTATATAATGTAATGTTAATATATTATATTATGATGTTTGGAACTGATGTGAATGTGAAATTTGGAAAGATTAAATGAAAGACAGACGGAACGTGAAATTTCATATGTTCCGCTAGCTACTTTGACCTTGACAATTTTTCTGTGAAATTTTTCTGTGCTAGTATTGATTTTATTATATCATATTACAAAACAAGTATAAATTATATTGTATCATCATTCACATAAGTCCTAATTAAAGAATTCTCACCCCATCTCTAAAGTTTCAAGCATCATTTGTTATTTTTTATATATTATATTTATATTTTTTCTTTCACATTATAATACAAATTAAGAAATCAATTAAAACAACAAAAGTAACAAAGATGTTTTAAATTGTAGATTTTTTTCACATATAGGCAAGGTGTCACTATTTAGATAGAGAAGCCTGCCTGCATTTAATTCACTCTTACCCAACTCAAAATAGTTAGGGATTCTACTAGAAAGGTCATGCAAGTTGCATCCTCCTTATTCTTGGCTGGGGCTCTACCTTGCCCGTGTGCTCCCTATTTCTTATGATCAAATGAATCTTGTACATATTTCTAAATTTCACGAAAATGATAGATTTTACCGCATTTGTCTGTAATTTTCAAAGTTATAAAAACTTGTTCCCCGAAACAGACAGTATATAACATCTTATCTCTATAATTATTCACAAATGTCCTATTTACCAGAGTAGAAATTGATGAAATCATGACAGAATTCTACTTGATAATTTTGAAAACAGGGGAAATTAAAATATATACACAAGTTTGATAAAACTCTACAGAAATTTGTCACTTGTTAAATAATTATCTCACCATGTCATCGAAGGAAAAAAACTGCCATCAATTAATTGTCACTTTATTTAAACCATTCCTTACGTTTCATTTGATGCATTAATACTTTCTTGTGTAATTCTTTTTCTTATAATAGGGATGAAGCAGAACTAATTCAAAATATAGTCACGGACATCAACAAAAAACTAGACCATAGGTCCCCAACAACTGTACTAGATGATATTGTTGGAATTGATGAGAACTTGGATCATATTAAACCGTTGCTAGAAGAATCCTCAACAATTGGGATTTGGGGGATGGGCGGGATAGGCAAGACAACAATGGCTAAGGTTGTGTTTGCCAAGCTCCGCTCTCAATTTGATAGTTGCTGCTTCTTGAAAAATTTTACGGAAAAGTATGAAAAGCATGGGTTAGAATATGTATGTGATGAACTTTTCCGAGAATTATCAAAGGATACATCTCTTGGGAGGCTGAATCATAGAAGAATTTTGATCGTACTTGACGATGTTAGCCACACAAAGCAGTTAGATGAGTTGAAAAGTGAAGCTCCTTGTTTGGGTCCTGGTAGTAAAGTCATCATAACAAGTAGAGATAAGCATGTACTTGATGGAAGAGTTGAGAGAATACATGAGGCGAAGGCATTAAGCTACAACAGTTCACTTAAAGTTTTCAACCTTAAAGCCTTCCGCACAGATGGTTATAAAAGTGGATATGAAGAACTAGTTCAAAGAGCAGTTTCTTATGCACAAGGCATTCCATTAGCCTTAACCATTTTGGGTTCATTTCTATATTCCAGAACTGTGGAGGAATGGGAAAATGCGTTGAGCAAAGTAGAAAGCACTAGCAATCGAGATATTCAAGCTGTGTTAAAATTAAGCTATGATGGGCTTGATGATGAGGACAAACAGATATTTTTAGACATTGCTTGTTTTTTCAAAGGTGGATTAAGAAGATATGTAGAAGAAATGCTAAAGAACTGTGGCTTTCAAGCAAGCATAATTGGTTTGAGAACCCTTATGGATAAGGCGTTGATAAGTGTTAGTTGTGATGTAGTATGGATGCATGATTTAATTCAATCAATGGCTTTCAACATTATTCATCAAGAGTGCATCGAAAATCCTGGAGGACGTAGCCGACTATGGAAACATGATGAGATCTATGATGTTCTAAAAAATGATCGAGTGAGAAAAATATTTACCTTTCTAATTAGACATTTTACAACTATTTAAACGAAATTGCTAACATAAAGTAATTTATTTACTTTCTTTTGGGTTTTTGTGCTGTTCAGGGAACTGATGCAATTCAAGCCATAAGTTTAAATTTGTCTCAAATGAAAGATTTAGAATTGAGTGCTGATGTCTTTAGAAAGATGCCTAATTTAAGGTTTCTAAAATTCCATTATTCACATGGCCATGAAGGATCACGTACTGTGAATCTTTCTTCGGGGCTTGAGTCATTGCCCAATTCATTAAGGTGTCTTCAATGGGACAATTTTCCTTCCAAGAGTCTACCATTGTCATTTTGTGCAGAGAAACTAGTCGTACTTCGCATGAAAGGTAGCCACCTTGAAAAACTATGGGATGGCATGCAGGTAAACATAAAATTAGAAGTTTTTATTTTTTTTTCTTTATAATTTTAATTGAAATTTGAGAATATAATATTTCTCTTTTTAATTGTTGCAGAACTTTGTGAAGTTAAGAGAGATAGACCTTGCCGGGTCCAAACAATTGATAGAGTTGCCAGATTTGTCAACAGCCCGAAATCTTGAACAGGTTGATCTGACACATTGTGAAAGTTTACGGCATCTTCATCCATTAATTTTATCTCTCCCAAGATTGAGAGATCTGAAACTGGGTTACTGCCTAAACCTAAGAAGTTTGAAATGTGAGAGTCAATCAAAATCTCTCTTACACCTAGATGCCTATGGTTGCTCTGGTCTCAAGGAATTTTCATTCTATTCAGTCAAAATGGAGTATTTAAATTTAGAAGGAACATGTGTCGAGATATTGGACTTCTCAATTGGGCGTATGGAGAAACTCAAGTGGCTCTATCTCAACGGCTCAAAATTAAAGAATCTTCCGATCAATGACATCTGTTACATGAGATCTCTCCAGGAGCTTCATCTTTATGATTACGGAGGAATAATTGATAAATCAAAGCTTCATGCCTTATTTGATGCTTTGCGATCTCTACAAACAATTGATTTGAGAGGGACATGCAAATTGACTGAACTTCCAAACAATATCAAGCATCTCTCAAGGCTACAATGTCTTAGCGTAAGCGGTTGCAAGGACCTTCAATCTTTTCCTGAGCTTCCTCCATCCATTGAAGTATTAGATGCCGGCGAATGCACATCATTGAAGACACTTCAATTCACTTCTCATATTGAATCTTCATTGTCGACAGATGAAATAACGCCGGGTTCAACATTCTGTTCCTCGGTTAGCTCTCTCAAAAATCTTGAACGGCTTATTCTTCGACATTGTGAACAATTGTATGAACTCCCTGCTGGAATCAAGCATCTTTCAAATCTAAAAGAAGTTAAGTTGAGCAATTGTAGAAGACTTCGTTCTCTGCCAGAACTACCACCGTTCTGTCAAACTATTTGTGCCCAAGGTTGCATATCATTGGAAAAGCATGATATGGAAAGTGCTTATTTCCTATTGAGGCGACTAGTATACACACAAAAATATGGTCGCATATACTACCCCGGAAGAAAAGCTCCAAAGTGGTTCAAGTTTAATCAGGTAGTAGAGGCTTCCAAAAAAATAACTATTGAGCTTCCTTTCCCCACCAGCGACCTAGTTGGCTTCATTTTCTGCTCTGTTCTTTCTCTATGCCCTCCCACCTACTTTGAATTTAGTCTGTATGTTGGTGATGCATTGGGGCTATGGAGAGGAAGACGCTTTATCGAAAAAATGGCAAATTTCGATTCACATCAAGTTTTTCTGTGGTGTGTACCTTGCACATTCGAGGGCTTCCATAACAAGATGGACGATCAAAACACCAGTTATAGACCAAAGGTGCTATTTGAATTCAGTCTTTGTGCAGAGAGCGGGGATGCTGATGATGTGATTGAAGAATGTGGAGTATTGCCAATATATGCCTCGGAATATCCCAACTTCATTCAACAAATGGAATTGCAGCCAAACTTGGGTTCCCAAAAAGGGACTTGTCATGATGCTGATGAGAATTCATTTCATGGAATCCTAAAATATGCTAGTTTCTCCTTGAATCAAGGAAAATGTGGCAATTTTGAAGGAAATATTATTCCAGAATGGTTTACTTATAAAAGTTCAACAATAAAGTATGAACCTTTAGAAGTGATGATCAGTGTTCGGTTTGCTCTAGATTTTGACAAATTAATGGGTTTCATTTTTTGCTTTGTTATACCCCAGTTCTCCTCAAAAAATAGGCAAGAATGTCACTCGTCATGTTCTTTCTCTTTACATGACCTGAGTGTATATAGGACTTATGTCTGTGGTAACTATGTGATCGGTCCATTCGGATGGCACTATTCAATGGTAAAATTGAATTCAGATAATGTTTTTCTATGGTACGATCCCCTCTACAGTGAACTCATACTGCAGAAACTCCGAAGAATGGGGAAAGGTCATGATGAGGAGCTTGAATTTACATTTCATTTGGGTGATTATTATGCCAATAATTGCAATTCTGAAGAGCGCAATTGTTGGATCAAAGAATGTGGAGTTCGCCCAATATATGTCTCGGAGTACACAAACTTCCTTCTTCAACCAAAAAAATTGAAAGGAGGTATGGAAAAAAAGAGGCCTCAAAATATTGATGATGACCAGTGCCAACTCCCTTCAACAAAGAAATTGAAGGAGTCTTCAATCATTCAATCTATTCCCCAGAATCCGGAGTCCAAGACTTCTCATGATGTCGATAAAGTGCTCCTCCTGCTGTCCCAATTGAATTTGGAATCTACAAAGGATCACAGTCGTGAGAAATAGATTACCTGGCTAGAATTGGTATATATCTCTCTTTTACTGAGTCCAAAAAAAAAAAAAATCTCTCTTTTACATTTCATCTATTAAATTTGACTTTGGTGCTTTTAAACAAAATGTGCTGCTCTGTAATATATTTAATTCTATTGCTAAGTTTGAATCCAATTATTTCCACTATTAGGATTTCAAATTAGCTTCTTACAATAGTTATATATCTTCAGACAACTTCACTCATATGTTCCTTGATGCGGAAGTTCGTTAAGGCATAACAGAATAGGAAACTTGGCATGCATAGCCGGGCTTCATTACATACCATAATAAAAAGCGCATCAGTGAAGTGAAATCATCATCCAAAACTTGAGATGATTTAGATTTAGGATATCTTATTGTAATTTTGTCTGTTTAAAAAGTTGGCCTTCGTAAGTCCACTACAAAAAATTCGACTTTCAGCGGCGACATTTGTCGCCGCTGAAAGTCCAAAAGTCGCCGCTGAAAAGCTTCAGCGGTGACATTTTGTCGCCACCAAGTCGTTGCCGTAGCGACCGTGGCTGAAACTTATCAGCGGCGACAAAAAAAGTCGCCGCTGAAACTGGACATTCAGCGGCGACAGAATGTCGCCGCCGAATCAAGCTTCCGCGGCGACCACAATGTCGCGGCCGAATCAAGCTTCGGCGGCGACCACAATGTCGCCGCCGAATCAAGCTTCCGCGGCGACATTAGTCGCCGCTGATTCTCATGTTTCAGTGGCGACAGTTCTGAGCGGCAAACCGCCATAACTCATACTTTTGGCGGCGACATACTTGTCGCCGCAGAAAGGCCGACTTTCAGCGGCGACAATAATTGTCGCCGCTGAAAGTCATATTTTCAGCGGCGACTCCCTTTGTCGCCGCTGAAAGTGGTCGCTGAAAGTCCAGATTTTTGTAGTGGTCCGATGTATAATTTGTTGGATTTCAGTTTGTTTACAAGGGAGTTCGACTACAGCAGTGAAGCTTTTATCTCCTCTGGATTTCATAACTAAGCTACTGATATATGCACACATGGATATTTATATATCTACATTTAGGAAAGATGGTTATTCCTCGGGAAGAGGATATATGTATTGTGTTGGATGGTTATTCCCCGTGCTTATACATATAAGAGGTATACTTGATGAAATACAAATTAAGGAGGTCAGTTATTTCCCATACTTATATATATATATATATATATATATATATATATATAGACAAACGCAATATGCTGTAATGTAGGTGGAACGCTTATTTACCGGTAAAGATTGTGATTTGAGGTGTATAAGTGAAAAGACAGTTGTAGTTGAATGCCTTTTGATTATTGGCTAATGTTATAGCTTGGTTTTGATCATATTTGTTTTAACTTCTCTTCTTAAACATATGTTTTGCAAATATTCTTATATGTCATTGCTTGACTTCCTCACACTTTGTTATTTGTGATTCATTGAGTCATCAATAATAGACTTACCTCTTTTTCATTACTTTGCAGATCGGCATGCAATTGAATAGAGAGCTCTGTTGTTGCACTTTGTGGACACAGGTTAAGTAGGACAAGCTAGAATAATGACGACGTAGTATCCCATGGTGTCATGGCTACTATGGAGGGGTTAGTGTTATTGTGTCGTGTCGGCTTCAAATTTATATTGAACGTTTGTTTAAATAATGCTTGACTAATGTTGGCTAACTTGTTTTGAAATTGGTACCTTGCATTATGCAAATTGTGATTTGTTTTGATACAAATGAAGGCTAATTTTCTTTGAACTCTTTTAGGTTGTATGGTGTGAATGTGGTTTTAATCCAAGCTAGCTAAACTGAGTATACTTAATTGTATTGGCTTGGTCCATACACGGATCACGGCTCAAATTTTGAGTCATGACAATTTACTGCACTAATCACACAAAATACAAAATGATTTATAGAAAATATGCAACAACAAAAAATTCTTTAATCTTACTTTTTTAGGCTCAGGACGGCTCTTACGATCCTAATTTACTAAACTCAAGACAAGATGCAGTTCTTGACACAGGCTACAAAGCAGTGTTTTG